ACCCCGACCTTGCTCGATGCAGCCCATTTGCTGTGACCATGAGGGTCTGGGCCACTTCGTTGCTGTGATATTCCAGTGCTGTAATTACACCAGATAGCCCTGCAATCACCTACCTCCGACCCATCCCTGCAGCTGCTGTAGAAACTTGAGCATTTACTTACTAGTACAACTCCTTTCAGGGTTCCTTGTTGTACGTTTACGACAAAAAATCCACAACCCTAGTCTCATTAGGTAGGGCTGAGCCCTGACCCAACCGCCCTGACAGAAACTCCAGGTTGCTGCATGCCACACATACGCGAAGCAGCCTGATGATCGTAGACATACATGCGGACACCACAGACAGCGACCGACGGACGGACAGACACACAGACGGACCCTGTTCTCCCGGCAGAATGCTTGCTCATGTGGGCCCATGTGAGTGTCGAACTGTTGGCTCCATGGTTCTACGCACTGTCGGCATTTATAACCGCAGGACGCAGGATGTGCAGGTTTACGCCTGAACATGCAACATGAAGGGTTCGCGGTCCACTTGAAAACAAGACTGACCCGGAAGCACGAAACTTACTGGGCTCTTTGTTGCCATAGTAGGGATCTACAATATCTAATGTGGTTTCCACATAATTATGTTCACTTTTCATCCTCAACAGGAACCCAGCTCAACGTTCAGGCGCCCCCTGCGAAGACTGGAAAGGAAGCCGGGGAGGCAGATTCAGATGCCAAGGCTGCCAAGCAGGCCGCGAAGGCCCAGACGAAGGGTTTAGGGTTTCGGGGTCTAGGGTTTAGGGTTTGGGGGGTTTAGGGGTTTAGGGTTTAGGGTTTAGGGGAAAAGCAGGTGTACGTAGATGTGTTCTTTTTGGATTTTTCTCTGGCGGTTAGTCCTTTGCAACTCAGCATGGGCCTTTGATGGATTTTTCCTCGCGAAAGGGACCACAAATTGGCTTGGTGGGTGAGATAGGGTTCAATTGCGATGAGTTTGGGTCGAACACATGGTTGTATTCTCAAGCTGGTCAAAGCCATCTCCTCTTAGGAGCCCCGTGGTTTCGGAACAGGGACCTGGTGGCGTAGGCCTAAGCTCCACGTTTCTACATTTTTGAGGGTTTGTAGACCGGGTGTTTCAAGCCGCTCTTGTGCTTGAGTCAGATCCTTCAGACTGTCACCTTCTCTCCATCAAACCTTTGGCCATGCTGCCGAATGCTTGAACTCATGAACCTTGAGCCACCGCTGCATGTAGATGTCCCCACCAAAACCCTAAACCCTAAGCCCTAAACCCTAAATGCCTGAACTCTGCCCTGGCAAGGCCTTCCATGTGGGCCAGAACCACAAGAAGAACGAAAGGCATCGAAAGGCAGAGCACTGTTTCAGTGAGGCAGTGCGACTGCAGCCGACGAGCGCTAAATACCAGGTGGGCCAGCACGCTTTCACGGTTGAGCTGTAGGCTTTCGGATGTTCTCACAGTTAAGGGTTGCAGGTCCGCTCAAGAGCAATCCAGCACCCTGACAGCTTCAGTCGATACAACCCGTGGTAACCTGATCAAATGCACAGCACCCATATATGGTCCCCCCTTCCCCCCATAGGATACACCGAAATCCTCGTGAGAACAGTAACAGGGATGGGCCCCCCGAACCCGGGATCCTCGTGAGTGTGACTTTTGAAGCTATGCAACTTCGTGGCGTGTCCAAAGGAGCCATGGTTTCGGTCTGCACCGCACTCAGCTGCTGACCCTCAACCTCAAACCCTTTCATATCTATACACCTAAACACGAGACAGCCCCGCCACCCACACCACAGGGGGCGGCCGTGAGACAGCATGAGGCCACTGGAGCACAGAGCAGGCTGGCACGCACCACAGCCTGGCGTGGGGGGGTGTCTGCACCGTATATAGAGGAGCAGATAGACGTGGGGTGGCGCTATCAGAGTTGGCCAACAGCAGGCTGTTTCTCAGGATGCAGTGCAGCCGGGAACATTGGCTGCACAAACGGAGCCAGCGCACGATTGTATTAAGCTTGAGACACAGGTCACACATTTTTTTTCGGATTTGCGGGTATCAGCTCATGGGCACCAGATCCTTTGACAAAGACAGCCATGTTGTAAGGGTTGGTTTATGTTCTCTCCAAGCACCTAAACCCCTAAACCCCTAAACCCTAAACCCTAAACCCTAAACCCTAAACCCCTAAACCCTAAACCCTAAACCAAAATTCCTAAACCCTAAACCCTAAAGGTCGCCTTGGGAGCCCTCTACCGCGACAAGCTAGGAAGCCTCGCGGCCGCGGAGATCTGCTTCAGTGAGGCAAGTTGCGGGTTTAGGGTTTAGGGTCTAGGGTTTCGAGTTTAGGGTTTATAGAGGCATAACTTTAGGGTTTAGGGTTTAGGGCCTAGGGTTTAGGGTTTTTGAGTTTAGGGTTTATAACAACTTTGCTATACCTATAGTCTCCACTGTAGTTCCTTTTCGGGGTTACCTTTTAGGATCCTTAACACAAAATTGGTTAAACCAGAAAAGGAAC